TTGACCAACAGGTAGTGAGCAACAGGAAGTAGTAGGGGGTGATTGTTCCAACACAGGAAATGTGCAAGGCTCTTTGCTGATTGGACACTTCGTAGCAGACTCTGTCATCTGGTGTGAGTATGACCTCAGAACAGAGTTGAATCCTACCTGTTGGTCATTTGAGCCACAAAAAAAGTGAAGTACATTTTATCAGAACAGTTTTTAAACAAACTTACTTCAAAGGCAATGACGTAGGCAAAATATGCATTATTGAATTATCAAAGTTCATGTGAAGTCCATAGGGCATTACAAAACAAAATAATATTAACTATTTATATCAAAGAGAGAAACAACACCCAAGATGGGATTACATTAATGAATTAATGTGAAGCTTTCTGGGAAATAGGTTTTACTCCCATCACTTAATATCAAGGAGCTACTTCAATCAGAGAGACGTTAAAGTTGACGTTGTCATCCTATCTCTGTCTCTGTGGTCCATTCTCAGAATGTCCTCCAAGAGGTGCTGAATATCCTCTCCACTTCCATTCAAAGAAAGACAGAGAGTGAAGGAGAGAGGGAGAGAGAGGAGAGAGAGAGAGAGAGAGAGAGAGAGAGAGAGAGAGAGAGAGAGAGAGAGAGAAAAGAGAGAGCAGATATTGTTCTTTACCTCATCTGGATAAGGTTTTCACAGAGTCACGGTGACATCCAGTCCCCTACTGAGCCTGTCAGTGTAGCCTATCCGTTTTCTAACGTCAGATGGCGTCACTCCTACGCAAAGCTCATACCTCAACCGATTGGTGGAAGCATTCAGCATTTTGTGTGCAGCATTAGGTAGCCAGTTAGCAGCATCCCTTTCATTTAATATGAAGTGTGACTGGCTCAGCTAGCAACTTCAGAAATAGTGCGCCTTGATACACAAAACACCTTAGCTACCTCACCAAAACAACATCAACATTATTGACAGATGAATTGCTTTAGCTTGGATTAACTCAGCCTGTTTGAGGATGAAATTGGGTTCATTAGGCGATGTCACCTAGGTAATAGGTGACATAAGTAGCCCAACTACTTTTGATCAATCCCATTAGTCTTTGCGAGATACGAGACAGATCAGTGCAGGTGGAATCGTTGCACTATCTGACATAAAACAATGTAGCCTGTCAGAGTTCTCCCTTTTACTCTTCTCTGCTCGTGAGCTCGCCAATCATGTTCAGCCTTGGGCTGTGTCTTGATCATTTGAAATATATCAGCCCCAGGAATGTCCATTTTTTTACCTTGAGTCCTTGACATATTATTTCGCCTGTCAGTGATAATGAAGGAAAGGAGATGAGGAAAGTAGACAAGGAAAGGAGACTACTTCATAGTATTGAGACATACAGTAGGTCACGTTCCAGGCCGACTACATTGCAGACATTTCATTGCACTAACCAATGGTTGTGTGCCACGTCATCAACTGCGCAGTCGGGCATCCGATTGCTATATCATATGATGGGGTTAGCTGTGGGATCTAGCAGAGTGCAGTCAGCCTAGAACACGCCCCAACATGGCCCTAGGCCTGCCCTGTGCCAGGAAGCTGAGGGTGTGTATAGTATCCTCTAAGGAGACAGCTTGGGTCAGAGCTACAGAGCTACAGAGCTAAACCTGGTTGCCTGGTATGTTTCTCCTTTAGCCAACTTCTTTGTGGTTGTCATGACATACAGGTCACTGCCAAAATAAAGGAAACACCAACATGAGTCAGAACAGATTCAATGCACCTTGGCATAGATTCTACAGGTGTCTAGAACTCTATTTGAGGGATGTGACACCATTCTTCCATGAGAAGTTCCATAATTTGGTGTTTTGTTGATGGTGGTGGAAAACGCTGTCTCTGGCACCGCTCCAGAATCTCCCATAAGTGTTCAATTGGGTTGAGATCTGGTGACTGAGACGGCCATGGCAGAATGGTTTACATCGTTTTCATGCTCATCGAACCATTCAGTGACCACTCGTGCCCTGTGGATGGGAGCATTGTCATCCTATGGGAGCATAGCCATGGTAGCCAAAATAATGGCCTGCCCAACATTTTTATACATGACCCTAAGCATGATGGGATGTTAATTGCTTAATTAACTCAGGTACCACACCTGTGTGGAAGAACCTGCTTTCAATCTGCTTTGTATCCTTCATTTACTCAAGTGTTTCCATTATTTTGATAGTTACCTGTAGGTTAGAGGTTGACTACAACCAAAACAGAGGGCACAAACTTTACTGACTCAAACTACAAGTTTGACTTTTATTTTACTCAAATGTACACTCAAACTATACAGGGTCAGTACATCCTCTAGTTAAATTGCTCACAGACTGGCAAGCATAGCTGCGGGAAGTAGTTAGGGGATTTATCAATGTTTTCTTTCAAATTTGCTGTAACACCCTCAACACCCCTACTTCTAGCGGCTATGCTGGCACGTGCAACTTCTGACTGCGTACTCCAGCAGAAAAATAGTGACATTTGACACGTAGGTCTACATATACACTTGCAGTCAAAAGTTTGGAAAGTTTCTTTATGTTTACTATTTTTTACATTGTAGAATAATAGTGAAAACATCAAAACTATTAAATAACACATATTGAATCGTGTAGTAACCAAAAAAGTGTTAAACAAATCAAAATATATTTGATATTTGAGATTCTTCAAATAACCACCCTTTGCCTTGATGACAGCTTTGCACAGTCTTGGCATTCGCTCAACCAGCTTCATGAGATAGTCACCTGGAATGCATTTCAATTAACAGGTGTGCCTTCTTAAAAGTTAATTTCTGGAATTTCATTCCTTCTTAATGCGTTTGAGCAAATCAGTTGTGTTGTGACAAGGTGGGGGGGTACACAGAAGATAGCCCTATTTGGTAAAAGACCAAGTCCATATTATGGCAAGAACAGCTCAAATAAGCAAAGAGAAACAACCGTCCATCATTACTTTAAGACATGAAGGTCAGTCAATACAGAACATTTCAAGAACTTTGAAAGTTTCTTCAAGTGCAGTCGCAAAAACCATCAAGCGCTATGATGAAAATGGCTCTCACGAGGACCGTCACAGGAATGGAAGACCCAGAGTTACCTCTGCTGCAGAGGATAAGTTCATTAGAGTTACCAGCCTCAGAAATTGCAGTCCAAATAAATGCTTCACTTAGTTCAAGTAACAGACACATCTCAACATCAACTGTTCAGAGGAGACTGTGTGAATCAGGCCTTCATGGTCGAATTGCTGCAAAGAAACCACTACTAAAGGACACCAATAATAAGAAGAGACTTGCTTGGGCCAAGAAACACGAGCAATGGACATTAGACCGGTGGAAATCTGTCCTTTGGTCTGATGAGTCCAAATATGAGATTTTTGGTTCCAACCACCGTGTCTTTGTGAGACGCAGAGCAGGTGAACGGATGTTCTCCGCATGTATGGTTCCCACCGTGAAGCATGGAGGAGGAGGTGTGATGGTGTGGGGATGCTTTGCTGGTGACACTGTCTGTGATTTATTTAGAATTCAAGGCACACTTAACCAGCATGGCTACCACAGCATTCTGCAGTGGTATGCCATCCCATCTGATTTGGGATTAGTGGGACTATCATTTGTTTTTCAACAGGACAATGACCTAACACACATCCAGGCTGTGTAAGGGCTATTTGACCAAGAAGGAGAGTGATTAAGTGCCGCATCAGATGACCTGGCCTTCACAATCCCCTGACCTCAACCCAATTGAGATGGTTAGGGATGAGTCGGACCACAGTGAAGGAAAAGCAGCCAGAAAGTGCTCAGCATATGTGTGAACTCCTTCAAGACTGTAGGAAAAGCATTCCAGGTGAAGCTGGTTGAGAGAATGCCAAGAGTGTGCAAAGGGTGGCTACTTATATTTTGATTTGTTTAACACTTTTTTGGTTACTACATGATTCCATGTGTTATTTCATAGTTTTGATGTCTTCACTATTATTCTACAATGTAGAAAATAGTAAAAGTAAAGAAAAACCCTTGAATGAGTAGGTGTGTCCAAACTTTTGACTGGTACTGTAGCTAGCCCTCCTGGACTCATCACTACAACCTATAGCCTACTCACTGTCTGACCACGCCATTCAAGTGGGGGAAGGAACTCTCCCCGAGTACTGAACCTCAATTCTATTAAACATTCATATTCACTGCATTAGTACATCGTTAGAAAATACATATGTGGGCTGTAAGAGGCTATGGACTGACAAGAAACCTAATTTAATTTTCAAACCAAACTCACTGTTGACTACTCTAGGCTAGATAAAGGCTCTCACATTGCACTCACGATATTAGAGACCACATCCAAAGACACTTTGGCATGCATGGGATGGTGTTCACTTCTGAAACTCCGCGCATTCTTTATACAAACAGATCGAACAGAACTCAAAAGGCTAAGCATGAATCATTTGTGCTGGGATCCGATAATGACGTAGTCTGAATCTCAGCGAGCCTGAACAGATGATGATGAGCGAGAGCCCGCGCGCGCGCTCCATATTAATCTGTTGAAGCTAGGTCGCTGTCTTTTCAGCACGGTGGACTGTGTGGAGAGAAACCTATCGGAGCAGCAACAACCTGCAACAACTCCGTAAACAGAATCAATTCAACACCTTTTACCAGGATAGTAACTCTTTTTTTTTTTCGGGTAAAATAAAAATTGCCTTGCTATTACTTTATTTAGGTTTGGAGAGGGAAAACGGATTGCTCTATGACATTTGCGACTAGGGCATTTATCATTAGGTTGTTGAATGGTTTGTGGTAGTATTTGATTGCAGCTCTCAGACAGTTAATTTAAATGGTTTTGAAGTTCTGTTGACTTTATTAAATGCTCTCGTGTCAGTTCCGAAGTCCAGAACTATGTCTACCATCTGATTTATGTTTTTGTGAGTTTTGGTGTTGAAGACAAGAGAGTTTAGCCTAGGCTATTTAATTTCGATTTGATTCAACGGAGAATATTAATTTCGTGAGGAGGTTTTCCAAACATACAAGGAATCTGTGCTCATAGCCAGCATGCTGGCTTTCTTAGTTGGACTTTTATACCTAGTGAGTGGACGCACGGTGCGCGCTCAGGATGCGACAGGTAGCCGCTTCTTCTGCTCCGCCATCCCAGCGGGGTCCGACCCCAGCTGCTCGTTCGACCCCAATGGTAACCGGGTGCAGAGCACCAGCCCCGTAGAGGACGAGCTACGGAACACCATCCTCCAACTCCGGGAGACCATCCTCCAGCAGAAGGAGACTATCGTGAGCCAGCAGGGCACTATCAAGGAGCTGAACTCCAAACTGGCCCGCTGCGAGGCGGCCGCGGAGGACACTGCGGGCAGGTCCAGGGGCCAGAGCTCCAGGCGGAAGGACTACAGTAAGAACACCATGGGAGACCTTCCCAGGGACCCCACGGAAACTATAGACCAGCTGGGAAAGACCATGCAAGGGCTCAAGGGTCGGCTGGAGAATCTGGAGGTGAGATAAGGATGCTATAGTGGCTACAGTAAATTATAAACATTTTAGTCATTTAGCAGACGCTCTTATCCAGAGCGACTTACAGTTAGTGCATACATTAATTATTATAATTTTTCATACCCCCCGTGGGAATTGAACCCACAACCCTGGCGTTACAAACGCCATGCTCTACGAACTGAGCTACATCCCCTGCCGGCCATTCCCTCCCCTACCCTAGACGACGCTGGGCCAATTGTGCGCCGCCCCATGGGTCTCCCGGGCGCGGCCGGCTACGACAGAGCCTGGATTCGAACCAGGATCTCTAGTGGCACAGCTAGCACTGCGATGCAGTGCCTTAGACCACTGCACCACTCGGGAGATACTAGGAATATGATATCATTCATGTCAAATGTTTTTTGTTTGTTATTATACACTGTAGCATTTTTGTATGGAGGTTAATCACCCCTATATGAATATGGATGTTTGTGGTTATAGCTACAGTCAATTATAATGATCATGCTTTTCATATAGCTCTTACATTCTGTATGGAGGTTACTCACCTCTTTTACCCTTTCACCACAAATGTGTCGCACCCACCACATCAGACATGTCTGATATTGAATGTAGCATACAGGATAAGACCACCCATTTTCTCTTCCTTAAGATCAAAGGGTAATGTACTGTAGCATGTCAGAAGCATGCTGCTTATCATTGATGAATGGAAGCATCTGATATGAATAGACAATCAGCAACACACAAATTGGTGTCGACAGTGTCAGGCACCATCCGTTGAGAAGTCGAGCAGAGATGTGTATTTTCAACAATTCATATTCATATTTCCATGCAACACCACATGCAGTCTTGTCATTTTTCCAACTGCTTGTGCAATTTATGCCACAAATCATTCAAACATTTCCACTGGCTCTGTATCCCCTGTATCATGGATGCAGTCCTATCTACGTAGCAAATAGAAGATGAAAAAACAGCCTTTTGTGGTTATGCCAACCATAGAATCAAATTATAATTCTATGATGCCCACAGCTTGGTTAGTTAAGGTGATTAGTCTCATTAATCTATTCTATTGGTTTCACAATCAAAGTCATGTGGGAGTGGCAGCCCCTGGAATAATCATAATCACACAGATATATATTTTTCTGGTGCCAGTGACTGAGTGTGCTGGTCTCACGTGGCTTTATGATGATCATATCTCTGGTTGTATCCAAAATGGCACCCTATTACCTTTGTAGTGTACTACTAGGAATAGGGTGCTATTTGAAACACAGCCCATATCTCTCTGATAATATTGAGGTCTTGCATGTTATCGTAACTGTGCAATCCGTTTGCGGCTGATGTAACCTTTATCTATAAGCACCAATCCTTTATGTTGTTAGTAGATATAACACATGATTGCACAGTGTGGAAGAAAACTGATAATAAATATGGGAATAAATATGTTTACATCTCTCTCCATCTCTCTCTCTCTCTCTCTATTTCTCTCTCTATTTCTCTCTCTCCCTTTCTGTCTCTCTCTCTCTCACACTCTCTCTCCACATTTATGCTTAATGCATGACAAAAAAATGGTGATATAGGATATTCCATCTGTTTTTTTATCACTCTCAAAATCTTATGCACAAGGCAAATTACATCCTCTGGGGTTAGACCCCTCATAAATAAGCAGGACTAATTCAAATGAATGATTTTCAAAAGTGTGCTTGTGTGTGTTTGTTTGTATGTTTGGGGTGCTGCACTTAATTATTGCCCCAAGGGGTCCCCGAAAGGACCTCCCCAACATATATATCGTCCCTGTTCCTTGATCCTACCTCCATTCTGAACACAGCAGAACACAAACTGTGACTGAACAACAGAACGTCCGTATAAGGGATTAACTCTCTCTCTCCTCCCTCCATCGCAGCAGCAGCAGTTGCGTGCCAACACGTCAGTGGCAGCAGCAGCAGGTGTGGGTGGGAATGCAGTGGGGCCCCTACCGGCGGAGCTGCGGGAGCTGCTGAAGCACCGTTTGGGGGCCCTGGAGGGCCAGCTGCTGAGGAAGGTGGCCGAGCTGGAGGAAGAGAAGAGCCAGCTGTACAACGAGACGGCTGCCCACCGTCAGCGCACTGAGAGCACCCTCACCTCGCTGCTTGAGAGGATCACTGAGCTGGAGAGAAGTAAGGGATATGTTCTCACTGACCCTCCCTTTCTATTTCTAATCCTCACTCTTTCTCAGTCTCCATCCTTATTTACCCAGGCCAGAGGATCACAGAGCTGGAGAGAAGTAAAGGATATGTTCTCACTGACTCTCCCTCAGTCTCCATCCTTATTTACCCAGGCCAGAGGATCACAGAGCTGGAGAGGAGTAAAGGATATGTTCTCACTGACTCTCCTTCGGTCTCCATCCTTATTTACCCAGGCCAGAGGATCACAGAGCTGGAGACGAAGTAAAGGATATGTTCTCACTGACTCTCCCTCAATCTCCGTCCTTATTTACCCAGGCCAGAGGATCACAGAGCTGGAGAGGAGTAAAGGGAGCTGTATGCTCTCATTCTCACCCTCTCTTTTTCCTCATTCTCTCTTTCTCTTTTACACTTTCTCTTTCTCTCTCTCCATCTTTATTTACCCAGGCTAGAGGGGATCGCAGAGCTGGAGAGTAGGGGGTTTATTTTCTGTCACTCCCCTCGTTCCCACCCTCACTCCCTTTCTCCCTCTATTTTTGCAGGTCCCCAAAAACTAACCTCCCCTTGCATCCTCTCTCTGTGGCCTTCTCTTCCTGTTTCTCTTTCTTTGATTCTCACACCCATTCTCTGTCTCTCTCTCTCTCGCTCTCTCTCTCTGCCTCTCCTTGTTTATTTTCTCTCTCTGTTGGAGATCAGAAAATAGCTGGAGAGAAATTCAGGGACCTCATCATCCCTCTTGAACCACCTTTGACTACAGACCGAACCACTCACATTCTGACTCTGACTCCCTTTTCCTCCTTATTTTGGATACTACAACACACATTCATTATTCAGGATCCCCAATAGCTGTTACTATAGCAGCAAGGACTTATGCTGAGATTTGGGTGGGGAGGCAGAGACCGTCTGACCATCTGATCTCTGTCATTGATCAGGCTCTCTCCATGCTCCCGAGTCTTCTCATTTTGATTCTGTCCCTCTCTCCCTCTAATTCATTATTTTATTGCATTCTTCTCTGTGTTTCTCTCTCTTTTGCTCTCACTCTCACCTCACTGCCTCCAGAAAGACAGACAGTCTCTGATTCTCTCTCGCTCTCATTGTAACAGATGTGTATACAACATGCTGTCTTACTGACATCTCATCAATGTTTCAATTAAGACTGGAAGCCATACATGCTGTTATTATTCCACCAACCAGTGCCCATCCACATTTGCATTAATGTTCAATCATCATCATAACGTATTCCATTAAGCAGACGCTTTTATCCAAAGCAACTTACAGTCATGCGTGCATGCATTTTACGTATGGGTGGTCCAGGGAATCGAACCCACTATCCTGGCGTTGCAAGCGCCATGCTCTACCAACTGAGCTACAGAGGACCTCATCATCATCGAGTGGAGGCTCATCAGAGGAGGAAGGGGAGGACCATCCTCCTCAGTGAATTTAATAAAAATAAAAATAGTGAAACATTAAAAAAGTTTTCATTTTTAGATAAAACTATACTAAATATATTCATATGTCACCAAATAATTGATTAAAACACACTGTTTTGCAATGAAGGTCTACAGCAGATCAACAGCACTCTGTAAGGTAGGGCCATGGTGTAGCCGGAGGACAGTTAGCTTCCGTCCTCCTCTGGGTACATTGACTTCAATACAAAACCTAGGAGGCTCATGGTTCTCATCCCCTTCCATAGACTTACACAGTAATTATGACAACTTCTGGAGGACATCCCCCTACCTATCAGAGCTCTTGCAGCATGAACTGACATGTTGTCCATCCAATCAAAGGATCAGAGAATTAATCTAGTACTGAAAGCATAAGCTACAGCTAGCTAGCACTGCAGTGCATAAAATGTGGTGAGTAGTTGACTCAAAGAGAAAGACAATAGTTGAACAGTTTTCAACAAATTCATTTCTTCAAAAATGAAGGAGGAGCAAGAGAGAGAGAGAGAGAGAGAGAGAGAAAGAGATCTATATTTCGTCAATTTTTTCCCTATTTTGTTGCTGTCATGCCCTGACTCAGAGGACGCTTATATGTTGAGTCAGGGTGTGTATATTCCTTGTTGTGATTTTCTATGTTGTATTTTCTATGTTTAGATCTAGTATGTCTAGATCTATGTTGGCCGGTGTGGTTCCCAATCAGAGGCAGCTGTCGCTTGTTGTCTCTGATTGGGGACAATACTTAGGCAGCCTATTGGCACTAGTGGGTTGTGGGATCTTGTTCCGTGTGAGGTTTGTTGTGTGTACCTTAGGACGTCACGTATCGTTGGTTTATTGTTTTGTCGTTGTGTTTATTCGTTAAATAAACATGTTTGCCTATCACGCTGCGCCTTGGTCTGACCCGTCGATGAACGAACGTGACAGTTGCATTACAACCTGTAATTTAAATTGATTTTTATTTGGATTTCATGTAATGGACATACACAAAATAGTCCAAATTGGTGAAGTGAAATGAAAAAAATAATGTGTTAAAAATAATTCTAAAAAATAATAACAGAAAAGTGGTGCGTGCATATGTATTCACCCCCTTTGCTATGAAGCCCCTAAATAAGATCTGGTGCAACCAATTCCCTTCAGAAGTCACATAATTAGTTAAATAAAGTCCACCTGTGTGCAATCTAAGTGTCACATTATCTGTCACATGATCTCAGTATATATACACCTGTTCTGAAAGGTCCCAGAGTCTGCAACACCACTAAGCAAGGGGCATCACCAAGCAAACGGCACCATGAAGACCAAGGAGCTCTCCAAACAGATCAGGGACAAAGTTGTGGAGAAGTACAGATCAGGGTTGGGTTATAAAAAAATATCAGAAACTTTGAACATCCCACGGAGCACCATTAAATCCATTATTAAAAAATGGAAAGAATATGGCACCACAACAAACCTGCCAAGAGAGGGCCGCCCACCAAAACTCACGGACCAGGCAAGGAGGGCATTAATCAGAGGCAACAAAGAGTCCAAAGATAACCCTGGATGAGCTGCAAAGCTCCACAGCGGAGATTGGAATATCTGTCCATAGGACCACTTTAAGTCGTACACTCCACAGAGCTGGGCTTTACGGAAGAGTGGCCAGAAAAAAGCCATTGCTTAAAGAAAAAAATAAGCAAACACGTTTGGTGTTCGTCAAAAGGCATGTGAGAGACTCCCCAAACATATGGAAGAAGGTACTCTGGTCAGATGAGACTAAAATTGAGCTTTTTGGCCATCAAGGAAAACGCTATGTCTGGCGCAAACCCAACACCTCTCATCACCCCGAGAACACCATCCCCACAGTGAAGCATGGTGATGGCAGCATCATGCTGTGGGGATGTTTTTCATTGGCAGGGACTGGGAAACTGGTCAGAATTGAAGGAATGATGGATGGCACTAAATACTGGGAAATCCTTGAGGGAAACCTGTTTCAGTCTTCCAGATTTTGAGAGTGGGACGGAGGTTCACCTTCCAGCGGGACAATGACCCTAAGCATACTGCAATAGCAACACTCGAGTGGTTTAAGCGGAAACATTTAAATGTCTTGGAATGGCCTAGTCAAAGCCCAGACCTCTATCCAATTGAGAATCTGTGGTATGACTTAAAGATTGCTGTACACCAGCGGAACCCATCCAACTTGAAGGAGCTGGAGCTGTTTTGCCTTGAAGAATGGGCAAAAATCCCAGTGGCTAGATGTGCCAAGCTTATAGAGACATACCCCAAGAGACTTGCAGCTGTAATTGCTGCAAAAGGTGGCTCTACAAAGTATTGACTTTGGGTGGGTGAATATTTATGCACGCTCAAGTTTTCTTATTTTTTGCCTTATTTCTTGTTTGTTTCACAAGAAAAATATTTTGCATCAAATGATACAACACCCAAATGATACAACCCCCAAAAAAATCCATTTTAATTCCAGGTTGTAAGGCAACAAAATAGGAAAAATGCCAAGGGGGGTGAATACTTTGAGGTGAGAGGAGGAGAGCGCGTAGATGCGAGAAGGAATACAACGAGCTGTTTGTATGTGGCTATGAAAGTAAACTTTTTGCGTGTGATCAGGGATGTATTCATTCTGCCGAATGAAGCAAACAGAAGCAAATGGAACAAAACGGGGATAAACATACCTGAATTCGTCCAATAGAAACTCTTGTTTGCAACTGTTGGACTAATGATTACACCCTAGATCAGCTAGATGCAGGCAAGAGTGTGTCACTGTCTGTCACCTCAAATCTTTCTTTTGACCTGTGTGCACCTATGTTGTAAACTTTCATTCATAGGCTAGGTTGTAGCAACCTCATGATGGTTATAGGGAAAATTTAAGTATCATGTAGTAGCCTAAACCTAACGATGTTACATTGAACTGGGTGAATGGAATATGAATGACAGTCATCCAGTATGCTGTAATAGAAATAAGGCCATGCTCATACATTTTTTTATCATCCTCCCTCATCTTAAACGGCACCGACAACCACTGTCATCATCATCATCACCATCACTATCACCATCACCATCACAGTCCCCTGTAGCTCAGTTGGTAAAGCATGGCGCTTACAACGCCAGTGTTGTGGGTTCGTTTCCCACGGGGGTCCAGTATGAAAAATGTATGCACTCACTAACTGTAAGTCGCTAAATGACTAAAATCTCAAATGTAAAAAAATGACCATCACCAACATCCAACCCTTACAGCCAATTTACGACAGTCCAATATCGTCAAAGTCAACGGCCCACTACCCATTCTTTCTCATTGGCTATATAGTGGGCCAACAGTGGCAGTAGACACTACTAACAGTGGAAGGCTGTCTGTCTGCTTTGGACAGTGCACTTTTGGGCTACTACTATCATCTGATATCGACTTGCTTACAATAGTGTGGTGGCCCACAGCCACCAATGGTCCGATAAGAGCCCCCTATGTGGGCAGACACAGTGGTGTATGTCAACAGTGCAGGTCATGACCGATGATAATCATTATCTAATCATTTCCACACCTCTGTTTGTCTTCAGGTAACAACGCATTTAAGTCACCCGAGGATTTCAAGGTGTCTCTCCCCCTGCGCACCAACTACCTGTACGGACGCATCAAGAAGAGTCTCCCTGAGATGTATGCCTTCACAGTGTGTATGTGGCTGAAGTCCAGCGCCAGTCCTGGTATAGGAACCCCCTTCTCCTACGGGGTGCCAGGACAGGCCAATGAGATCGTGCTCATTGAGTGGGGCAACAACCCCATAGAGCTGTTGGTCAACGACAAAGTAAGTCCTAGTCTTTTATTAATTGTCCATTCCAAAAACAACTCCTGGGCTACGGCGACAAAATACTAATTTACTCTAAAGAACTTGGTTACAGTTGAGCTTGTATCATTGTGCATTTTCTATTACAAAAACAAACTATGACGATTGAATAGACACAGAACAATATAAAGCCAGCACAGAAAAGTAACTGAAATGGTGTTGATGTAGAGTCATGTTGTAGTCCTTAAGCCATACCTCTGCTGTAGTCTATATTGCAGCTGTTTTCAGGGAGTAGACCCAACAGGACCTTGAACCTGGGTCCAGCGACTATCCACCCAACACCTTAGCCGTTACACCAAGAGGCCCACACCTCTTGTCGAGGGTGCTAGGTTGGCTTAAGGTTGCTTCAATATTTACATTTAATACTGAGAATTAGACACTTTCCCCCCTTGTTAACCAATGCTTTTTGAAGGAAGACAATTTCCAATATGCTCAAAAAGAAGTTTTTTTTCTTCTGTGCGCTACTGCTGGATAACTGAACCTAGGGGCTCAGAGGGAATTGAGTTTGGCTGAAGTGAAGTAGGGTGGGTTTTCTTCGGTTATGGGGTTGGATTTGTATTTGTGTTGGCCATCTGGTTTATTGGCAGAGGCAGTTTTCCCCACAGCTCTGGTTTCACCATACATTATGCATGTGTGTTTGTCAGAAAGAAAGAGAGAGAGAGAGAGAGAGAGAGAGAGAGAGAGAGAGAGAGAGAGAGAGAGAGAGAGAGAGAGAGAGAGAGAGAGAGAGAGAGAGAGAGAGAGAGAGAGAGAGAGAGAGAGAGAGAGAGAGAGAGAGAGAGAAGGAGAAGGAGAAGGAGAAGGAGAAGGAGAAGGAGAAGGAGAAGGAGACCGAGACCGAGACCGGACGAGGGAAGCAATACAGCACCAGAGAATAGAGGAACCAGTGAAAGTGAGAGTGAGAGAGGAGGAAAGAGAGGGTCAGAGAGTGTATGTGTGAGAGAGGATAAAATCATGAATATAACACACATTTTCGTTGCAAAATGTTTTATAACCTAATGAACACGACCTAGGCCTACCTGGGGATTCCTGGTAATATAATCAACAATTTAAGGTTAGAATGTTACACCATGTTCTTTTGGCAATGGTACACCATTCATCTGGTGCAAATGCTCTAGTGCTCCAAAATTAAGATTTATTAAAGATAAAGAGAGAAAATCTGCCCATGATCAAATTCATTCAACATTCCTGTTGCATCGCCTTATTTTGGCTTCTGTAAGGAGTTAAAGTATTCGTTCACTATTATAGAACCATATCTCTATTTTGGATGTAAATGACATGTTATAGAAGGGTCCAGATACTTCTTTAGCGATTTCACTTGGTTTTGAGAAACATACTTCTCTATGTAGCACAGCTGGTAACGGAAACCGCTCGAGTCGCATAAAATGGAATATAATGTTGCGGATAAAGTTTGGAAATGCATAATTTCATTTGTGTACAACATCTAAAGACCTGCATCACTATGCTGAGAGCTTTGTCGTTTCTAAAATGACTTATTTGGGTGGTTTGGAGCCTTTGTTTTTCTGGAGCCCCCATACTGCAGAACGAGCAATAAGGAAGTCTATTGCGGATGCGGTAAGATGCCATTTACATCCAAAATACAGATTGGGTTAAAAATTGTGAACCACTCCTTTAAAGCTTTCCTGAAGCCAAAATATATCAACAGGGAACTTCTTTTATCAATACTTTTTCAGTAGTTGGCTGCCTATTGGACAAGAGTGTAGTTAAAACATTATTTGATGTAGCGGTTGGTTTGGTTTTAGTCAATACCTGGATGGGGTGTTGTTATTGAATTTCTTTCTGCACCTGTCGGATCTAAAAAGTTAAATGCCCTCACACCTTTAAGGATTGCTTGCAAGTGCATTCTAGGAAATGTTGAATAATCGTTCAAAGAAATTACCCCCCATCACTTGTTGTTTATTTTTTGCAAATGTTTGGGCCTCACAGCCTTTATCAGAGCTTTGATTGGAGTCAACGCCACGGCCAATAGTTTTTATTGAAATATTTATGTGGACTAAAAGACATTCTGCAACTGTTCAATCTGCCTTGCCCTATGTAAACAACAGTTGATGTGTTTGTTTCCAGCTCACACGGTCAGGGAGTAACTCCTGGCTCTGGGTATGATATCAGACCCAACGTCCTCAGGTTGACTAAGGCTCAGGGATATTATTAGAGGGCAGTAATTAGGTCTTGGATTTTCCACAGTATCAATGCTCTGGCTGATTGGCTTTAGTGTAAATGTGATATGCTGGAACACCTTTGAAGGTCAAGGGTCTAGTTTCTCATTGAGGGATTAAGAGCAGACAGGAAATTGTTGGCAGTAGCCTTTGTGACAGAGTGTGTCATGGTCTCTATGGCTCCTATAGAACCTCTATATAAAGCTAATGACTTCCACTTCCATTCTCCCCTATGCTGAATCCTCTGTGGGCCATGATGTCATTGTAAAGTCTGGGTAAAGCGCTGATGTTGTAATCTTTCGTAACCTGTGCTATTTCTTTCTGGTCTTGTTTTCGAAGTGCAATCCCATATGACTGCAATTTCTACAGTATATTGCCCCTATGTCACTTTACTCTTTATAAACTATTTGTGAAGTGCTGGTGTTGTCTTGCTCTTTTTGGCCCTGTGTTGTGTGTCTTAGTCAAAGCTTCATTGTGCCATCTGCCCAGTGATATATAGTCTCTTTGAGGTCAGAAAGTAAAGCACTTGTGCTCTCTTGCCTCTTATGCCAGATTGTACGTTTCAACTTGAGCTCTATTGCCCTATCTGCCCTGGGATATTCTACCTGATAGTAAAGTCTAAAATAAGCTCTTAAGGGGAATCCTATCCTTCACTTGAGTGATGTTCTTCTAAGTCTCCCACAGACATCCATGCATGACTAAGTGAAATTTTGACTTAAGTGGAAGTTAAGATTCACCACACAAAGACTAAAGGTTCAACAGAATAAACACAGGTATTCTCTTGCCCCTTTTGCCCCTGTTAGTATAGCACCTTTAACATGAATTACCCTCCTTGCCCCTCTTACCCTCTTTGCCCCTTTTACATTTACATTTCTGTCATTTAGCAGATGCTCTTATCCAGAGCGACTTACAGTTAGAAGTGTATCCCATCTAACGTTCTACTGCCCATCTCGCCCCTCTTACCCAGGTGGCCCAGCTGCCCCTGTCGGTGAGTGACGGCCGCTGGCACCACATCTGCATCACCTGGACGACGCGGGATGGCTTCTGGGAGGCATACCAGGACGGGGAGAGGCTGGGCACTGGGGAGAACCTGGCCCCCTGGCACCCAATTAAACCTGGAGGGGTGATCATCCTGGGACAGGAACAGGTGGGGCTCAGCCAGGCTCTGATGTACTCCCACCGGAGAGAGAGAGGGGGAGGGTGTGTGTGTGTGTGTTCCCCCTGGGGAGGGAGAGATGAACAGGGGAGAAGGGGGAAGCAAGGCTCTTGTCACGCTATCAACACCCCTTTACCATTACCTCACCTCTCTGCCTGCCTTAACCAGTATCAGCACACACAACACAACAGCATTCCCCATGGGAGATACATTATTAGTGTGACACTCCAACAGATATCTCTATGATAGCACTTTACTATCTCTACGGTGATGTACTACAGTACACTGACTGTATAGATAATTCCCATTGGGACCCATTAATGTAACACTACATAGCTGTTGGGTCACATTGGTGTGACTACTTTGTTTAGCACGTGTGGTACTAGTCTATGTGGAAAGCTGTAGTGCATGTAGTTTGTCTTTCATGGGCAAAATTGCAATTGCAGAGTGAAATTACAGACGCACAGAGAAAACCAATAGCAGAGCAATAGATCTGTCACATCTATCAGGCATTATATTCAATTTATTCGATTGTCATTCTGTTCCGGCTTTAGCCAAATTGTTGATGTCTTTGAATTCTTGTTGAACGCAGAAACAATTAATCACCCAAGCTATGACGTTTCTGCATACTGATGGAATTTTAAACACAGTCCCTCTCCCTCTACAGGACATCGTGGGGGGTCGTTTCGACGCCACCCAGGCCTTCGTTGGTGAGCTGAGCCAGTTCAACATGTGGGACCGGGTCCTTCGGCCTGTGGACATCATGGGAATGGCAAACTGCTCCTCCTACATGCCCGGAAACGTTGTTCCCTGGATCGACACCAATGTAGAAGTCATGGGAGGAGCATCCAAGGCGGCGTTGGAGATCTGTGAGGACCGTATGTTCGAACCATAAAGCAGTTGGATGTGTAACATTGTTATGGCATTGGGTTTCGAAGGTTCCGGAGGATTGAGAGGTGGTTCTGGTTCCGCGCTCTCTGTGCTGCATCAGAAACAACGCTCAAGGAGGATAAAGGGCTCAACGGGTATTGACTTTGTTTACAGACCTATATATAGTAAATGGGTCAACTTTGGTTTTCCCAATGTTTTTTGGTGTGATTTTCCATGCTTAAGTACATGGCTCACAAGTTCATGCCCATTCCAACGTGATTCTAACTATAGGATTTTACAGAGAACCCACTTGAGACTGAGGACTCTATACTCTGTATTCTGTCTTTTTTTCCATTTGACTTAGTCATGTTAGAAAACAGCTCCTCTCTAAGGCATTTCAAACACTGATAATCGAGCACTGTACTGTATTCAGTGAATGTGAGCTAATATATAACCCATGGAAGCCTTCATTGTGTTGTGTGGACAGCCATTTCTGAGTTGCATGGCAAACTTCTACGGTACATGATTTGAGCTTGTGTTCCTTTGCAGTAGAAAGAATCCCCAGGTTCCAGAGAGGGCTATTGATGAGTATAGAATATTAAGGCAACAGGTGAATAGACCATTGACTTCTGATTTGGAGTCATTTTAAATGTGTGCATGTGTTTTGACCTGTGTACTGTACTGTATGTGTGTATGTGTGTGTATATGTACATGCATAGGTGTGTGTGTTTACTGTAATGGCAGTGTGTGTGTGTGTGTGTGTGTGTGTGTGTGTGTGTGTGTGTGTGTGTGTGTGTGTGTGTGTGTGTGTGTGTGTGTGTGTGTGTGTGTGTGTGTCTGTGTGTGTGTGTGGGTGTGTGGGTGTAAAAGGCCCTAGAGATTAGTGACGAGGACATTCACATTCTTGTAAATCTATTCTAATACCTCTCCTCCCCTTGAGCAGCTGCCATCCCAAGCAGCTTTGTGCGGCGGCCTGCCCAGGCAGGTTAAAAGCAAAGTCGGAAAGCTGCCGAGGACTGGCGGGAAGCCGGGAATTCAACGCTCTGAGCGCCACACTGAGGGAGTGTGGGTTGGAATGGGATGGGAGGGACTGGATGACCTTCAAGGAAGGATTTTATCCATAATCTGTGTTAGTAAATATAATGTTTGTCATATGAATGAGAAGATGAATGTGAGCTATTTTACTATCCCGTTGCAATGTATAATATAGGGGCATTTTGCTAGAAGCCAGAGAGACGCTATGAAACTGAAGATGATGACTGTGAAACTAAAGATGAGAAGGGATCTGAATGTTTCTGGTTGGATCAAGACATAAAGCACTGGAACACTTTGCTATGTTTCTGTTTGTAGAGGCAGAAAAATAACAATGCCTTTAATTTCCTTAAGGGTAAGAAAAAATTACCAAGGTCTGAATTAATATTGTGCTTCATTCCAGTCCATTTAAACTACAGTGATTTGAAATGTGGTGCAGAAGATAGATGTGTGTCAAGTTTGCTTCTTCAACACTGTTCACACTTGTTTTACTGCAACACAATACCACAATGCCTGTCAATTCAACCCTTATCTGGTGATGGAGAGTGCAGAGGACTATCCTGATGTTAGGAAACAAATGGACGTTCATCTCTTCCTTTCCTTTGTGACATCTTGGAAATATATATTTCTGGAAAAAAAGAACAGCAGGATTCTGAAAATTTCTGATGGCCTTTGAGAATGATATAATGCAGTAATGTTTTAAAGGGGTACACACTTATCATTTTAGAACATTTAACTAAAAGTTATTCCACATATGAATGTCCTTTTATGTGTTATAGAAATGTAACTGAAGGTTTTATTGTATTTTATTAGCATTTCTGCTCATGAGTTAGTTTGTTTGCTTGCACTGAATCACTATTTAAATCAGAATATTAGTGAAAGAAGACCATCTTCTTTTAAAATGTTCAATTGCCTTTTTTTTTCTGCACCGAATGTGCTTTTTGTTCGTGGATTATTCAAACCATAAAGCTGGAATCTGGTGAAACTGCCACGTCCGTTTGTGATATCACAACAACAAAGAAGTTACTGCAAACAACGAACACTGGATTTAACCTTGGACATCATTGCACAATTATTATTTTAATTTTTTTACAATGCGGCGTAACAAAACAATAACAATGGTGGTGGGATGGCCAGTGGTGCTGCTTTCCCCTACTGTGGATTCCATCTTGAAGTTCAGCAAATATCATTTGTATTTTTTTTTCTACAATGCAACCTTGGAATTGTGAAAAGATAAATGAGAAACAACAAATTATTCAGCTGTTGCTTTAACCTCATCTTCATCTACCATTTATGTTCTGTGTCTCCATGCAGTGTGGTTGGATGTCCTCTTGCACCTAATAAAATATTCAAAATCCAAATACGAACAATTGCCTGAAAATCGTGACATCTGAAAGAGTTCAAGTGTTGAATAGATTCACAGGTCAGCTGCGGTGTGCAGTGGAGGCTGGTGCAGGGAGAAAGGGGAGAATGGACCTCCCTTGTAATATTGAAAGACATGAAAGATAATGCAACATATTTAAAACCCTCCTTGTAATCAAACTATACTAAATACTGTATACTCACATGTGTTGGCTATTTCACTGTAGTAGGAATATATATAGTCCCATGTGAGGATAAACATGATAATGTCCAGTAAAATAGTAGCCTTGTCCTGTTAAGGTTACCTAGGGTCAGTAGCTATTCATAATGCCTTATTAAAATGACTCCCCTTCTATCAATACAGATTACTCATACCAAAACACATCCAAAAATATGATAAATCCCTCATGTTTCATAAGGCTTGTAAACTGCCAGAACGTGATTGTACACTTCGTAACACAATATTGTCCTGTCTTATTTGTCACACAAAGACAGTAGAGGTGTCATGTTGTGTGCAATGAGTCCATGTCGTCTTCAGTCCTGAACAAACCCAGAGGATATGAATGGATGTTTTCTCTCTTTCCCTCTCTCTCTCTCTCCATCCGTGGAATGTTATCAACAGCAGAGAAATCCTCTGGCTGGCAGCCTTCCAGGTGGAAATGAAAAATCGGCCTCAGTGGATTATGGGAAGCAGCAGTGGTAATGTAAGGCACGTTACATTGCGTTCGAGAGCTCTCCTCTCCTCTTTCCTTGTTCTCTGCTGGCGCTGTCACGGTTGGCACTATTGCTTAATTCATGTGTTCCTGCAGCACCCCAGGGTTTACATTGTGATTGCATTGTAAATGATGCCCAATTACTGACTATAAACAAGAGGATGGAAATAGTAGTTCAGTAAATTATAGTTTTTTGACAAGTGCTGTGGAGATGGAGGTAGAGCACTCTGCTTGAGAATTAAGGGGGATAATTAAACTCTGAACTTACATTTCCAATATGGTCTCATAAGAATATGTAAAAATAATGACGTTTTACTATTGTAGTCAGCTACAGTATATGTCATACAGTGACATATTACTTGTCTACACTATGACTGGCCGGCCGGCCAGTGGAGAAAGAGCTATTTTTCAATCTCAAAAGATTATTTCCAGGTTTCTTCCTTCTTTCTTTGCCAACTGTTGCTAGGGGAATATTCTATTGTTGAGTTTAAAACTGGGTTTTGTGATGTATTCTGCGACAAATGACAGCACTACCTACACAAACCTATGCAAATCTAATTCAGATTGGCATGTAGCTAATACAGCTCACAGATGTAGAGGGAGATGTGTACATTTTTGTACCCAACAATGAAATGATTCATCTGGATCTTTGAGAGAGTGGGAACGTGCTGCTGCTATTTCCCCCATAGGAATAGACTTAGGGGGTTCAGCACTAGTCACGATAGTACAGTATTAATGGAAGGAATGGCAAGGAATTAAACGAAATAAGTGCTAGAGTAGATGCAGATGTAATGACACCTACTTCAGGCTAAAAGTGCATCGCTTGAAAGGGTTTAACTCAATGTTATTACCCAGTAGGCCAGTCGCCCCACTCCACTTCCCAAGCACAATGGATGGAGCGTTGGCTACGTATATTGCTCTGCGGATGACATTGGCACCCGAGGCTCACAATTACTTGGCAGATAGTTTATTAAAGCTTTGTATTCTACTCCTACACACTCACATACAACACACATGCATACAGACACACACACAGAGTCACACACACACCCTCGATGGTGGGTGTTCGCGCTATGCATTTTCAACGGACCCAAGGTTGTGTTGGAGTGTGTGTAGCTGTGTGCATCCAAGTCTAAACCCTGTAATTAAAGTCAATCAGCGTCGGGCGTATTTGATCATCGGTGGTAACGGCATCCCATCACTGCTAGGTGAAGAATAGAGATTTAAAGGGCTCAATTAAAGAATTATAGCGCTCTCAGACAGACGGTCCTTTGAGGAGACGAAGAGAGCGAGGACTAGACGAGACCCGGCACTTCGCTTCGTGACCGGGAGATAAAACTTGATTTCAGACTGGAGAGAAGCTCCTTTGGCCCTGGTGATTATTAGAGTCTGCAGGATAAAGGCATTGAACAGCAGTAGGACCTCTCCAAGGCATTGCATTGCAGACTATAGAACTAGGTTTTGGTTTGTGCTGCCTGCTGCCGTTTTTTAGGCTACTTGGATCTCTCCGACTATTAGGCAGACCCACACACCGCCTTCGGCCTCAACAGCTCTCACGAAATGAGGATTCATAAAGAACTCTTCAGATTTTTGCCCTGGCCTTCTCTCCATCTGGCTGCCATTTTGTTTTTAAATTAGCCTATTTTTCTAAGCACCACCCTTCTCTTTTATCTGAGCTGTTCATATTTTGTTAGTTTGTGTGTTCAAAATAAAAAAGGGAAGCAGAAGGCATGAAACCAGAAATACATTAATGTTACTCTTTAAAACACTCAAATTAATGTGACTCAACAATGTAATTCAAAAGATAGTACTGTGTAATGGCGGGAAATGAAAGGTTGAACTTCTGTAGATTTGTGCTATGTCTCAATTTAGAAAAAACATCAGTAATAACACATAATTACAGTGACATACTGTATAAATCATATGTCAGCTTGGGTGACATATAAGTAACTTCAACAGTTAAATGTCATTATTTTGAACATTTCTAATGAGAACATGTTGGACACTTACTTTGATAAGTTTAGAGGCAATGCACATTCATCAACGCTTCATAAATGTGTCAGCTGTAGCCCAAGACAACCATACAGACAATGATCATGTTGTGGCCTCATTAGAAGTTTTCTATTTATTTCAGCAATTAGAAAAAACGCTGCCATTTTAATCACTAACCATTGGTCCATATGAAATCGGAAATTGGATTTCTTGATCTTTGATTGGATTTTGATACTGCACCACTTTGATCATAATTACCTGGAACAAAGACAGACAACATGAGAAGGATTTTAAAGCCAGGATGAGTGGCTTCTTACAGAGAGAGAGAAAATGTTTGAAATGTTGTTTTCCAGGAAGTGCACACATCTAAATCACGTGTAATTTACATATTTCTGTAACATCTTGATAACATATTTTAGTGTCTGTGTGTCTTTTTTAGTGTATCTATTTTGTATTTATATGTTTATGTATTTGCTGGGGGAAACAAATGTCCCCTTTGGGGGATTAATAAAGTACTATCTTATCTTAGATAGCAGCTCTCAATAACATTTACATTTACATTTACATCATTTAGCAGACGCTCTTATCCAGAGCGACTTACAAATTGGTGCATTCAACTTATGATAGCAAGTGGGACAACCACTTGAAGGATTAC